CCCCAAAACCCCAAAACCCCAAAACCCCATGATGATGAGATAGATAGTAAAATTTAGTATTAAATATGTGATTTTGACGATATTTAAATATGGTATTTTGACGAGGAAAAGATTGAAAGCAAAAATGAGATGGGTATCAGGCTTCATCATCATGGCTACTAATTTAAGTAATGACCACGACACTATTCACCTTTTTGGTATAGGGTAATTACTTAACCACAATAAGATCAAAAGTTTATTGTAGTCCATTAAATTCCCACAATTATTTATTTGCGGTACTATTCACTGCTTCTATAACTTATAAAGTTTTAATAATTAATTATAACTTTGGGGAAATTCTGGAATTTAAAGGCCTGCACTTTGTAATTAAATACTAAGTTATGAAATTAAATTTAAGTTTAAAATTATTATGGCTGAAGCTTAATATCTTTCAACTTCCTCAATTGAAACGATTCATAGCTGCCTGCATTAATCCACCTCTTGGGTACTACTATTGCTATTGCTGTTACATCTGAATATTATGGTTAGGTGATAGCATTGCTGCAGGTTGTCTCTAGATGTTTATGTTAGCATCAATCATCAAGTTTTTTCCAAATCCTTAAGAGAATTGCCCTATTCCAGCTAGATTCTGTGATCCCATCATGCTGTTGTTATTGCTTGGAACTTTACTGCTGCTTATCAGACCAATCTCCTCATACTGCCTCATGTATCTATCTTGCTTGGCTATCTTAGTATCCCATACTTCGAATTCTAGTTCTCTGACAGTGAATGGCTTAAACGTTGTTAATTCTTCTAGATGCTTAACTCCCTTGTTCTTTGAATCCATGCGATTACACAGCGCTGCTCTTATCAGCTCCTCTCTTTTACCTAATAGGTATTAATCACCAGCTGCAGACATGGTATAGTCAGACTCTTTGAATTTGAATTCATCGGCGTAGATCACTGGATAGAGCTTCTAGATGAATTCCTAAGTCCTCTCCATTAGAATATTTATCTGCATCTTACTCTTAGCACTCATTTGCTTCCAAACATCTTCAGTCCAGATTGCTATAATTTGCTCACAGATATCAGGGTTGTCCAGAATTCTAGGGAAGCATGATATCACTACATCTCCTTCAGGCTGTCTGAACTAACTCATTTGGGAAGCTTTAAGGAATTTCTCTCCAATGTAGTTTCTAAAGCCACTTACAAAGTACAAGAGTCTTTTTTGAATGAAACAAGTGCTAGGAAGTAGGTCTAGATGAAGTTTGGTTTCATCACTGAATTTCTAATGAGTCCTTATTACTACTGTTAGTTGAGATGGGATCTTAGACTACAATTTACCGATAATGTATTTCATTCCAGTTCTGTTAGTGTGTATATCTTAATCCTTGATAAGCATCTCAGCATTCGGTGATCCTCCCTTAATAGGCAATTTATGCTTCAACCCTCTATCCAATAAGGTCGTCTCTAACTAGCACCACCCACAGCTCATCTCAGTCACCTTATCATTTATCTTGACTGCTGTGACCAGTTCAAAAATAACAAAGATGTGAGGTTTGATGTACTCATCTCTGTTGCTAGTCTTAAATAGTACTGGATTAGTGCCGTTATCACCCCAAGAGTTGAATTTCCACACATCCTCATCAACTTAGTTGTATAAAGCGTTTACTTGCACAGCATTAATGATGAAGTCTTTCTTGACTGTATCATATAGTCCTATTCTCACCACTCTTTTGACTATCTAAGTTCTACTGTCGAATCCCTATCCTGAAGCTGGCATTGGCACTCCAGTAGCCTCCTCTAATAGCAGTTGGCATCCCACTTCTGTAATAAGGGGTCTAACTCTTGGCTGAAAAGCTAATTGCATCTGATTAGGAGTTAGGTTTTCTTGCAATACTGGGTATAGGTCTTTGTAAAGCATTGTTGCTGGGTCAATCTAGGGAACAAATACTGAACTGGGTAGATTTTTCTTGAACTTAACCCATTTCTCTGTGAAGAAAGAGGGAACAAAGTTCTGAGGCATGTTTTTGAAGTTTTTGAAGAAGTCAAGTGGATGTAGTTTTCTGGCTCTCTTTATGTTCATAAAAGTATTCTTGCTCATTGCATTCCTAAACTGCAACTCATCTCCCATATTCATCAAAGCAATGAACTCATCAATGTCCAGTTCCCCATCTCTATTCACATCGATTTCATTCATCAGTTCAATTAAATCCTCGAATGTCACATCTGCCCCTAACTTCTGAATGACTCCATAGATCTCATCTATACTCAATGTCCCTGAGTGGTCCACATCTGCATCCATAAACATGGCTCTCAAGTCTTCTAGACTATCTTCTTAACTCAGCAGATCTTCCTTCATCTTTGGGAGCATAAGCTGAATGAACTCATTTTCATCAAGAGCCCTATCTCCATTATGATCAATCTAAGCGATCATGTTGGCTGCTTCATCTAGTGTAATTCTCTGACCGATTGCCATCATTGATTTGACTATCTCATCAGCTGTGACTTTGCCATCCGAGTTCTCATCGAATTAGTGGAACAGGTCCTTGATCTCTTTCTTCATACTTTCAATCAAGTTCTGGTCAAGCTCCTAAGTTCTCTGCTGTCTAGTGGCTTTAGCACCTTCTATAAACATTCCAAACTCACTGTAGGATAGCACTCCATCGTTGTTCACATCAATAGCATCAAATATCATTCCATAGTCTGAGGGCATGATGCCTGGTATGCCCATATAATTGAGCCTGCTAACGAATTCCTATTTATCAACAGTACCATCTCCATTAACATCCATTTCCTGGAACATTTTCTATATGGTATAGTTCTTTCTCTTCAGATACTCACTGATCTTTTGCAGTTGCAGTCTGCATTTAGCATCGAAGCCTTGATATCTATCCCTCGCAATCTACGGAGTGATGTTTCTACTGCCATCAATGGACTGTGCTTTGCTCAGATAGGTGGAGAGTTTGTCTAAGCTCACGAATTGTCTGCTACCTCTTGTGTCTAGGATCTCAATCAACTTCTGCATGTCTTTGGCCTGATAGCCTACATTCTTGAGCGCAGTTTCAAACACCTGCCTCTGTATCTCACCCTTCTGTGTTTGCTTGAAGATGTTCTGTATCATCAAGTTATTCTAGTTCATGTAAAACTTGAGATCTAGGATCTCAATGGGTGTGCCCTTCTTCAGCTTTTCTGTGATTTTCTTCTCATAGTTCTTGATCTCCTCTGCTCCTTCTTAGTTCAAGGGTGGGTCTGTGCTTGTTCTTGTGCAAGCCAGGTATAGCTTCTTGTAGGATATCTCATTCTAGACTTCTTAAGCCAAGTAATAGGTGAGTAGCTCTATCTGCTACTCAGTGAAAGACCCACATCTCGGATTGATGCTGGCTAGGGCTAGTTTGAACTTAAAAATTGGCAGACTTATCTCACCATGTTGTTTCTTCCAGGGCTCAAATACATCCTTCACTTGCTATCCCTTATTCATTATCTCAGTCCTTATTACATTTACCAAATCCTGTGCCTGTTTAAGTTCGTTCTTGTTAAGAATTCTCCTTGGAAGTGCTTTCTAGCCTCTGGGTCCAAGTGTCTAATTAGGCAGTCCAATAGCTTGTAAGAATTCAATGACTGATATCAATCCATTGTTATCTTGCTTTGCTAGTGAAAATTCTTATATTTCTATTCTCTCATCCACTGACGGGGAAAAGCCACAAATCCCCAAAGCAGCATATATATCTTCAAGATTCAACTTTGGATTTGGGCCTTGCGATCTCTCGGGTGTAAGAACTCTTCTAAATGCCTCCTCGTAGTTATTGCCTGTTTTTATCAGCTCTTTACCTATATTGTTCATTCGAGCATTTTATCCTCCAATTGCTTGCATTGGCATCACAAATTGCACATCCATATTGGCTCTACCTTTGCCAGCACCTACAAGACCTCCCTAGAATAAGGAAGCAGCTGCTTCTTCACCAACCAGCAACTCTAGCATTTGCTTGTAGTTGAACTGACCTTAAGAGTTCTGATCTAGAGGACTTAACAATTTTTTCATTTGCAGTGAAGAGAAGGGATATCCTCTCTCTTTTAGTACATTACTAATCTCAGTCTAGGTCAGGTAAAATCTCTGAGTGATATCAATAGCTAGCAAATCATCAGCTAACAAATTAGCCTTTCCATTTCTTTTGACATCTCTTCCTAACTTTGCATATATGTCAGCCTAGTCCTTAGTCAATGCATTACGCAACTATTGAACTTAGGACCTGCCGTGGAACTTCAAATCCTACAAGAACTGTCTATAGTCAACGAATCTGTTGTAACGATCTCCACCTTCTACAATGTAGTTGTCAGCTACAAACATCAGATCGTTTGATGGAATGGGGAGACTCTAGGACATTAGTGTCTGGTTAAATAGATCAAACGGGATTACTCCAGTAGCTGAGCCTCTTTCATGCTGTCCAAGTTGAGATGCCAGTTGCAAATTTCTGCTTTTTACAAGATCATTAATTTTTATTAGTGTTTCTTTGAGTCTATTTTTAGTTTGCTCAGTAGCCATTTATGAGCTCATTCCTAAGTTAGATTAGAATCCAAACTCTTATCCAACGCCTTAGCCGTAAGTCGCTCCACTCACACCTCCTGCTTTGTAGGTCTTCTCTCTAATTTTAAATTCTTTTATGAACATATTATAGTTGACATTCAAGTCTTTATCCTGATATCTCAATGCTATAAGCTCAGCATCAAGCTTGTTAGTGAACAGGTCTGTACCAAGTACCTTTGTAAAGATATGAAGTGGAAGTAAGCCTTTGCTAATAGGGTCATCTCTTTTGAATATGTTGTCCACCACTTTGTTTCTAGCCTGCAACTTGGATATCATTTCATCAATAACATCATTTTGCATATCTTTAAGTGGTTTAGCTGCCAAATTTACTACAAATGTCTCTACTTCAGCAATCGTTACCATCTCTGCATTTCGAAGGTTGATTTCCTTGTATAGAGCATCTGCTTGCCTGTTCTCAAAGATAACTGGGCATATCTCAAGCGAATTCATAGCAGTAAGAAAATCTGCTTAGGACAGGAGGCCTCTTGTATGGCTGTACTTTGAGAAGCAATCTTTAATTGTCAAGCCCTATATTGATGCAGCCTTTTTTATGTATTCACAAATCTTTTAAGAGCTAGCTACATTTGAGAACTAAAGCTTGATAACATTCTCGTAATCATCTAGGAACTGCTTGTATTGTACTTGATTTGGAATGTGATGGATATACTTCTTGCAGAGGAAGTCAATGTCGTCATTATTCAAGGTGGGCACTCTGATCACATCTAAGATAATTTTCCTCATCTCACTTATGTGAATCTGCTAGTTAACTGCAGGATCTACTCTCTATATCTCATTCCTAAGGTTATATCCAGCTATAATAAAGTTATTTAAATTTAAACTATACATCTTGTTGCTTGATGTGCTATAGCCGTAAGGTATTCAGCTTACATTTAATCTATTGTTTCTATAGAAATTGGTTATGATAAGTATATGGCTTACTTTTACTGCCAAAGTAAACTGCTTAATCGATCTATTCAGGAGTTATCTATCTTTTCTGCTGATAACTGTTAAAGCACAGATCTATTTGCTAAAAGTGTTTGTTAGCAGTGGACTGAACCCAATTGATATTAAGGTTTTGTATAGCTGTGAGGAAGTTGTTCTCTTGAAGGATGCCTCCGTTCATTCTCTGACTGAATTCAGCAAAGTATTCTTGAACTGTCTTACCTGCAAGATATGTCGCTCTCATTAGCTCTTCGAGATACTATGATTCAATACTGATTCTAAAGTCATGAGGTTTCATTATATGATTTTTTTCAGCAATGGTATTAGTTGAAGTCATTTGAGGGAGGAATAGATTTCTGTGGCCAGTATTAAGCATCGCTGCTGGAGCTTTATTGCCCCCGAAGCTCCCACCGAACTCATTCATCTAATGCATTCCGGAGAAATCTCCCCTCATCATACCTCTTTACTTCCTGATCAAGTTAAAGTCATCCAAGAATAAGTTAACGTTAACAATGTTGGGGCTCAATTGAGGATTGGTATACTTCATGGCTAGGAAAGTCAAGTCAATCTTACTCATCACGATATTCTTGGGAGAATTCCTTTGGAAATAGTCAATGAAAGTAGTAAGATCCAATTAGGCAGTACGAGTTCTATCTCTTTCCATTAGCTGAGAGAGCAAAAAGGTGTCATCGCCATTAAAGACTTCTACAAGCTTGGACAGGATTTCTTCATGCATTTGCTACTAAGATAGACGAGAGTTTTATCTGATGGCTTAGTCTAAGTTGTCAATTTATATGATATGCTTGTGCATTGAGTCTAATGCCTCAAAGATCGTGTCAATGTCTAAGGCTGATAAGTGAGACAGCTAAAGTCTCTGCATAGCGGTTCTAAATGCATCTTTATTAATATATGGAGCGCCAGCACTAAATTAGGAGAAGTAAGTAAATGTATTCATATTCTGCACAATAATCGCTTTCTGAATCTCTTCAAATGACTTCTGATACTTTTACAGTATTGAGTTCACTCCACCTGTAGCACCCACATTTCCAAAGCCCTAAGCTTACACTTCAGTGAAGTTATAAGCCTGAGCCAGTTCTGTAATAGTGGTTCTTATCTGATGATTTTTTACTTAGTCCTTGATATCTACTAGAACCTCTGCAATCTTGATCTCATTTCTCATCATAGGGTCATAGTGCTAGAGCATGTGCTCGCAATCTTCACGGTTCAGGAACATGGTCACTTCTATGAAGCGCTTAAAATCTTCTCTGCTAAGGATACCTGTTTTAGTAATGCCACATTCTAATAGCTACTTAGGTATTGAGTAGGACAGGTTTGAGTCTAAGAAACGACCAATCTTATTTAGAATAGATTAGATCAAGCTTGTTGGCTGTCTACCAATGTTGTTTAAAGGTAGGTTGCTGGGTTGATGAGTGCTTGTGAATTTCTAGAAGTCATTGTACTACATATGCTGTCTATTAACGAAAGAATTTAACGGGGAAACTCCTGTCTTATAAGCTTCAAAATCTTATTTGAAAGTGTTGAAATCTAACTTTATTCCGGTACCTTAGGTATCATACTCAATCAATACCCAATCAATCTCTTCTCTCTTTAACTTAAGACCGAGGATTTCAAGAACTTAAGAAAGTAATCCCTTATCAAAGGACCTCATTTGATGAGGATCATACTGTGAAAACAATTCATACAGATCTACCTTTTGAAGTTTAGCCATAGCCACTTGAAGGGTCAAAAAGATCAAGTTAATCACCTTGTACTTCTCATTTTCAAAGAGCAGCTTGTCTAAAAACTGTGAGTAATTAACTCTCTGCTAGTATGCCTAGACTGTGTAGAATTTGGCAAGGGCATCTTTAGCAGCGTCAAAATCTATTCTTCTCTCAACATCAATCTCTCTGAGCTTTTAAATGAATTCATCATAAGGTATAGATAGTTGACCTGTCAGATCGCAGCCCATAAATATCATTCTAAGGTTATTCAGGGAGATATTTTTGCTTTGCATGACATCAAATAGAGATCTGTAAAATTTCCTCACTTTTTCTTGCTAAGCAGCTGCAACTGGGTTTCTGAGATACTCATTTGTCAGTTATTAAAGCTAAAAAGGCTGGAAGTTCATGCCTACCATCTCACAGAAATGAATGAAATCAATTGTGCCTTGTTAGTTGTTGTCAGCATCAAGTAACTCAAGCAGCTTTTTCTCGTATTCAATTGTAAGAGGAATCTGTAAAATAGCTAATGCTTTAAAGAAGTTTTCCTTCGAGATCGGTATCTTTTGCTGCAAATTGGTAATGTTTAGTCCTTGAAGGCCAAATAAGTCAGCTATTGGTCTCTGTGTGGAACAGCAGGCTCTTCTGATACTCTCAAAAATGTAATAAGCCCAGTGAGAAGAATCCTTAATTGCCTTGGTGTTAGAGAATTCTGAAAATTGCTGGCATAGCTCTGAGTACGAGATTCTTCCGTCCTTGTTCTTGTCGAAATTCCAATATATGCTATCGATTTCCTAGTCTGTTATCTCATAGTGGCCTATCTTCTACAAGGCTATCTTAAGCTCAGATTTCTAAATGAAGTTGTCCTTGTTGATGTCAATCTCCTGGAAGAACTTAGAAATGTCTCCTCCATTGATCATAATATATCTTCTAATTGCATCGTATACCTTGTTCATAGACATATATGAGTTATTCTTTTATATCATCAAATCCAACTAGGGTTTGTTTCCAGCATAGAGAGATTATTCAAACCTTTCCAAGTCAATGAAATGCTAGGTTTGATATTTCCAACTGCTAGTTGCAACGACTTTGAATTCATTGGCTACTTGGTAGGCCTCTGACTGACTGATATTCAAGCCTGGTGACTGCAAGAAGTTCAAAAACTCTTGAAGCTCAATTACTTGCTTGCCCTTTAATATCGAAATGACAAAGATTTTAGTCAAGTTTGTGATTCTTAACTAGGAGAGGAACATACTTACTTTGTCTAGAATTGGCTGGATGTTATATTAAGACCCAGTTCCAAAATTGTTGTAAGGGTTTCCACCTATTGGCTATTGAAACGCAGGCTAGTTTATGAATTATTATTGCTGTGGTCCAGGTCCAAATGATATTGGATTTTCTAGTACAAGAGGAGGTCTTATATAATTAGAGTGAGCTGAAGCATCTCCACCGTAGGGACTTTGGATAGGTGACATTTGATTGTTCAAAAGATGACTATCTAAATCGAGATGAAAATTTGCATTTCTATCTCCGAATTGACTTAAGGGTCTCATCACACTTTCAATCTTCTGTCTAAGCAAATAAGTTTTGATTCTTCCGTATTGATCTTAGTCGTACAATCTCAAAAGTGTGTTCACATCTTGTTATTGGAATCTGGGATCGACTCTGAAACATAAATCTGAGAACTAAAGTGGCTCTATATAAATAGCACTTGGCTGGATGTTTGACTTAGCCAATAAGCCCTCAAATGTAAGACCATGATTGTTGTTCATAAAGTTTCTGACATTGCTTAGAAATTACTGCTCCAATGGATTTTCAATACCAAAGCCAGAGGTATTTGCTGATAAGAATGAGGTGGCTGTGTGGAAAGTAGTCTAGTAGCTAACAGGGCCTTAGCCGGAAGGACCTTGGTTGAAAATAGGCATGTTATTTCTTGAGATGGCTCCCTCAAAAGCAACTGGACCACCCACACCAGGCTGGGCTGGCACCACATTCTTGACGCCTTGGATAAAGCTGATCTTAGTTATCATGCTCTCACCTTGAGGAACAAAGTATTGAAAGAGTTGCATGACCTCATAAGGTTGAAGACCTACTATACCTATACTGTTAAGGAATCTTGAGAATTCATTCTGGTCCATATACTGCATCCTACTGTATGTGTCAAAGATCATGTCTGGCTGTGGGCTCTGATTGAATATTCTAGCAATTTGGGTTAAGTATCCTTGAATAGCAGGTAGAGTACTCTTGTTCTTGTAAATTGATTCAAATTAGGTCGAGCCGAGTGGAATGTTTGTCTGTGCCTGGATCATGTTAGCCAGCTTCGCATAAGGTATCTATCTGATGCCCAGACCTTGATTGACTCCATTTTGCTCAAGGAATCTTCTAGCATCTTCCATTTAAATCTGACCTTCACTTATAGAAACTAGCTCCCACTATTCGAACTGTCTAGATCCGCATCCATCGTAAGGCAAAAAGAAGTCTGCAATTGATTTGATCTTACCGTTTTGGTATTGCTGTCTTACTTTAGAGCAAAGGGCACTTAGTACTGGATCATTCATGCTCATGTTGTTCAGACCTCCACCAAGATTTGCTCCAAAGCCTCCACCAAGCATGTTTTACGCAGAACTTCCATATGGTTGCTGCTATTACTGAAATTGATTTTGAACATATGGCTGTTGCTATTACTGCTGCGGCTATTAAAACTGGTTTTGACTGAATGGCTGCTGATAAGGCTGATTACTGAAGTTTTACTAAGGAGGTGGTTAGTTATACATTTAATTGGCTCCTGCTCCTATTCCAGCTCCTAAACCCCCACCGCCCCACTACTGCTATTGTTATTGTTGCATTTGGTTTCCTCCGTAATGTTAATTCTAGGGTGCTTTCAAACCACCTTTCAATCTATCTATCGATATATCTTCTACTATGATGTTCTTTTTGGGATATCTGTCCTCAACCTTGCCTGCTCCTTTGGTAAGAGAAAGTGTAGGCATTGAGTCTACGTCGAGTGCATCTGATCGAGTTAATCCTCTTTTCTAGTTCATTTATTTAAATTTTTATTTAAATTTACAATTTTCAAATTATACTCTCAACTTAACTCTTATGGGGTTTTGGGGTTTTGGGGTT